TGTACAGCCTGGTAGAACCATTCTTGCCCTGGAGCTCCCAACATTTGTTTTTAAATAATAATCATCTGAGAAAGTGTTTACTTCTTTGTGCAAAGTTTTTTGGGGAGGAGGTCCCAATATGTTTCCTTTCCCCCCAGTCTCTGGAAGAATTTGATGGGTTGTCTTTAAACATAACAAGACAAGCTGTCTGTCAGAGGGAGCCATATAAATCATTCATGCCTTGTGAATTTTGCAGATCCCCAAAGCTAGGAAAGAATGAGAGAGAGGTAGGCTGAAATAGCATAAGAATTGATTCCTTTCAAGAGCCAGACTGGGGCTGCTGTTGTTGTTTGTTGTACAAAATCTCTGCTGGTTTGTTGTACACTTTTTAAAAAACTGAAGTCTGAAATATTCAGTTGCGCTTCAGGAGGAGACTGTTTGCATGTTTGTTTCTTGAAATATGCATATTTAAAATGAATTAGATTTGAGAATGAAATGAGAATTCCTAGCTCCAGAGAGGTCAGAATCTAATATTTGACACAAGGAGGATAATAGAGAAAGAGAAAGAAGATGGAGGTAGGAACTAGCAAGGAGAGAATAGGTTCACAGCTCAGTTTTCATCTTCCTAAACTAGAAGAAAAGTGAGAGGTCATGATAAAGGTTCGACAGAGAAAGTGGATTTCTGAGGAAAGAGGTGAAAGAAGTCAGAGTTAATATCATATAGCTAATGTGAGAGAGAGATACTTCCACAATAGGTTTAGTCCTTCTCAGCCATTACTTTTCAGCTAGCTGGAAGCACAACCAAAATGTAGGTTTCACACAATACTGTACTGCTACATGTCCTTCTCTGTGACAAAGATCTGAGTATCATTTTCCCACAATTATCTCCTGTCCAGTAAAGGTCTCATGCAATGTTAATTAAAAGATTCCTGTTTGCTGACTATGCCATTTTTATTTCTTCCTATTCAGTGATGCTTAAGGCTTAGTGATGAATTGCCTCTTACTAATCTGCTCTGGCCTCATGCTGGCCTCCTTACATGAATGAAACCAATTATTTAATTTTTTTTTCATGATGAAATAGTGCTAAAATAGAAGGAAACCGGTAATTAACATGACCTTCCTGGTAAGGAATAGAAGCCGATAAACAAAGGACAATTTATAACCAATGTCCTCAGCCAGTCTTGGGCACAACCAAGAAACAATAAGTTTTTAATTTAAAAACTAGTAAAAAAAAACTCAATAACATTTTGTCTGTGGATTAGACAGTCTGGCTTTACCGTTATGTCTTATTGCTAAAAAAAAATCAACTTTTCTGCTAGCTATTCTGGTGTTTGGAAAACAAATAGGGAGGCTAGAAACTAGATCACAATGGTGTGTGCATCATATTCTTCCTGAGAAAGAACTGTCCTTTGACCCTGAGATCAAACATGATCAAGCACTCTAGCTTATTTCTCTTGAGGCTCTCCCTTTTCTCTTTGGAGAAGGACAATAGTTCAGGATTAAAGCACAGAGAGCTTTGAAAAGTTACCTTTTGGACTATATCTTTCAGAATCCCCCAGCCAATAAATCCCATTCAGCAGAGATCCTTCCCAAGCTTAATTAAAAGCTTCCTGTTTGATGCCTCTGCCATTTTTATTACTCCTGGTTTTATTTCTCTAGGAGATTTAGTTACAAAAAATAATTTTTCAAAGCTTTGCAGTCCTACATTCAATCCCAGGAATCAAGCAGAACTGGAAGAAACCATTGTCGGAAACCCTAAGGAACCACTAGCAGTCAGTGAACATAATACCAAGATTGATGATGAGCCAATTGTCCTATTCCATTTTAATGCAGATTCATTTATTCTTCATCTTAATTCCTAAAGTAATTTGCTTTTAAAAAAAAAAAAAGACAAAGATTTTCCTAAGCCCTATCAGCAGTCCTGGTTTCATTTGCTTATGGTTCGCTTGTAGGCTTCCAGATGAGCTTGTAAGGGCCTCTGGCTTCTGCAAAATAGCCGCACAATCAGCTAGAATTACTTCCATTAAATCAGCGAATGTTATCTTATGCCCCTAAACTGACAGAAAGATTGTGGTTTCTTCCAAGGCAAATGCCTGCCAATTAAAAAGCCCTTCTGGGAACGCTCAGCAAAATGGGTATAGGTAGGTCCTTTAGAGAATTGCACCTTTTTTTAATTAAAAAAAGCAAAGTTTGCAGGAAATCTTCTCTCACCACTGCATTACCTGTATCTCACATTTTATGATCACCGAGACTATGGCTTAATTGGTTTATTCTATACTTGAGGGGCCAATGCTGCTGTGAATCCTCAGATCACCTCTGTCAGTCATAATAGCTTCACCTGTGAGTAATTCTGTTGCACGACCATTGGAGTGTCCGGTAGGTATTGTCTTCCACACAAATGGTAGTAAGCAACACCCTGCTGAATTTGCCTTGTTCTTCTTCTCTACTGTTCAGTGTGTCTCTACAGTTTTATTATGCCTTGCACCATACAACAGAGTAATGATAACAAATTGGGCAGAATAGGTAGCAGTTGGTCGCTTCCATGCCATAGACAGAGCAGGGATGGGGAATATACTCTGGCTGGCATCCTCTTCATAACTGACCCAATGCTGGCTGGCATCCTGTTTGTGACTGACACAGACATATTGATTTGAAGGATGCAGAAGCAGAGCTGCACATAATGGTGCCAGCAGGCATGCCTTGACGTTGTGTAATGCACATGCAGGTGCGCATTGTGCCTGTGGATGCATGTGTCCATTGTGCATTGCAGTCATGGATTTCACATTCACTAATGCACAAGCATCCCTTAACCCTATGCATATAATAATAATAATAAGAATAAATTTTATTTATACCCCGCCCAATGGGTACCCAATCAGGGCGGCTTACATCAATTAAAACACAATATACATAAAACATAATACAGAAACCCCCCCACCCCCCCTTAAAAAATTATTAAATCAAGCAATATATAAAATCAACATGATTAATTATATTAAAATCCATATATAAAGCTATCGACCGTTTCCTTGAGATAGGATCTCAGCCTAGGTGTTTCAGCCTGAACTTGAAAGGTGCTGTCCAGGGTGCTGATCCTATTTGAAGGGGACAGGGTCCAGCACCTTGCATTTTTCAAAGAAATAGCAACGTTACTAATTACTGAGGAAAGTCAAGGAAGAAAATGCAAAGCCAGGATTACTGCTGAACATAAAGAAAGCAAAAATATTGACCACAGAGGATCTGTTTAAGTACAACCTAGATAATGATGAAATCAAAATAAAGACCTCCTGTACCTTGGATCAAACATTGATCAGAACAGAGACTGCAGTAAAGAAATAAGAAGGCTAGAGATGGGAAGGGCAGCCATGAAAAACTAGACAAGGTTGTAAAATGAAAAGATATACAACTGAGCACTAAAGTAAGGATCATCCAAGCCATTGTATTCCCCGTTACCATGGACAGATATGAGAGTTGGACAGTGAAGAAAGCGGGGGGAAATCAACTCATTTGAGACATGGTGCTGGAGAAGAGTGCTGAGGATACCATGGATGGCCAAAAAGCCAAACAAATAGATCCTAGAACAAATCAAGTCTGAACTCTCCCTGGAAGCCAAGATGATCAAACTAAGGCTGTTATATTTTGGCCACATCAGGAGAAGGGATGCATCACTGGAAAAGACAATAATGCTAGGAAAGGTAGAGAATAGCAGAAAGAGGGGAAGGCAGCATACCAGAGGGACAGACTCAATGAGAGAGGTCTTGGGCATGAATTTGCAGGACTTGAGCAGAGCCCTGGAGGCCAGAGGGGCTTGGAGATCTCTCATCCATAGGGTTGCCATGAGTTGGAGCTGACTTGAGAGTAGCTAACCACAACAATAACAACAGCAATGTTAATCTCTTGCAGCATAAAAAGGAGGAAGGGAAGGGGGGAGGAATGCATTTATGAGCACCGTTAAAACTAACTAGTTTTTATTTGAGCCTGAGCATCCATGGCTATAAACCCATTTCTTCAGATGCAGTACAGATCCACCTAGGACTGCTAAAACTTCAAGCAGGTTTGCTGCCCCATGATCAGGGAAACCTCAGCCACCTCTGGGCAGGATTCCTGAGCATAATGGCATTGGACACTTTGCAGTTGTAGAAGCGTATGTCTTCCCTCCCAGTTCCACTCCAGTGCAAGAGTGCTCCTCTCGGCTTTCAAGCGAGGAAGTCAAAAGCCAACAATGTTTTTAAAATCTTTGTTTGACCTGGGAGAGAACTAATCTCCTAGGATCCCGCCATCATGGTGGGAGGTATTTTTATGCCCAGTCCAACCTTATTGCACATAGTAACAAATTGAAACATTCTCTGTTTGTCAGCCAGAGATGCTCATCTTTGAAGATGTTGCCTCGTTGCCTTGGAAACTGACTTATCAAAGGACCGCGTTGCTCTTACAACGAGAAGCAAATTGTTTTCCAAAAGAAGGGGGCAGAACCATGGAAACACCCACCCAAAGAGTAGGGAAGGCTGACATTTTCCCCCTTGCACAAGTCATGAGAAAAGCTCCACCCCAGAAACATATATAGGCATGCCTCGCTGAACAAAAGAAGCTCCTTTTTACAAAGTATTTGTATAGGTCCCCTTTTCCTCCTTCTCCAGTCTTTAGCTAGAAGCTTTTTAGCAGCGTCAGAACTGGGAGAATGGTGAAAGAGGGCCAGAGAAACACAGACCTAGGCTTGCAACATTAGGTTTGCAATAAATAGTATAATAAAGCTTGAATTGGAGAAGCCTGGGGTTCTGCTTTGTAGCCATGTATGCTTGCCTACAACAGGCAGAGGAAACAGCAACCACCTCCAGAACCTATTTCTGAGCATGCATGAAGAGCAAAACAGAGGGAAAAGGGGAGCATCTATAAGCCTGCCTCACCAGCTATCTCCCCTCCAACATGTAAAAAAGAAAGCATAGATCTATAAGTCTGGACAGTGAAGAAAGTTGATGGGAAGAAAATTAATTCATTGGCAATATGGTGCTGGAGAAAAGAGAGCCAGTGTGGTGTAGTGGTCTGAGCATTAGACTACGACTCTGGAGACCAGGGTTCAAATCCCAGCTCAGCCATGGAAACCCACTGGGTAACCTTGGGCAAGTCACACTCTCTCAGCCTCAGAGGATGGCAATGGCAAATCCCCTCTGAAGAAACTTGCCAAGAAAAATCATGATAAGTTCACCTTAGGGTGGCCATAAATGGAAAATGATGTGAAGGAACACAACAATAACAAGCTGGGCTGCTAAATGCTGCAAATACTGTGGACTGCTAAAAAGACAATTTAAAAGACAATAAATGTGCCGTACAGTAAATCAGGCCCGAAGTTTCCCTAGAAGCAAAGATGTCTAAGCTGAAGTTGTTGTATTTGGGCATAACATGAGAAGAAAGGACTCACTAGAAAAGACAATAATGCTTGGTATGGTAGAAGGCAGTAGGAAAAGAGGAATATTGCATATCAGATGGATAGACTCCATCAGAGAAACCACAACCATGAATCTGCAAGATGGGACAGATAAAGAGACCCAAAGAGGGGGAACCATTGCCTGTGGGGCTCCCCTGAACGAAAAGCAACTCCGACAGCAATCAAGTCACCTGAAAAGGAAAGCAAAAAGCCATCTGCAAGCCAGCTTGGATGGAAGCCTTTGCTTTTCATGCATAATTTACATCGCCTCCGCTGCATTTCCACAGCCTTGCTTAGCTCTGAAAACTTCATAAGACAAAGGACTTGAGTTGTTGCTGATTTATTCAGCTCACATGCTTTGGGCAGGGGCCTTGCATGAGTGTGGGGTGCAATCCCCAACTGTACAATGCCTCCCAAAGACACCGCAGCTGCTACTTCAATCTGTGAGCTCACAAACTAAAATCCCATGGGTAGCATGACACCCCCCGTTACCAGGGTCAGCCGATGGATCCTCAACATTGGAGGCAATTTATCACTGCTCTGAGCTGAAATCAGTTTGTAAAGAGATCTTGTAGCACCTTTGAGACTAACTGAAAGAAAGAAGTTGGCAGCATGCGCTTTCGTAGACATAAGTCTACTTCCACCAAATGCATTTGGAGGAAGTAGACTTGAGTCTAGGAAAGCTCGTGCTGTCAACTTCTTTCTTTCAGTGAGTCTCAAAGGTGCTACAAGATCTCTTTACATACCAATTTCAATTACTAACATGGCTTTATCTTTGAATTCTGAGTTGAAATGGAGCTCTCTCCACGCCCTATCCTAATACTAGCAGAGCCCCCATTCAACTCTGAGCAGCTTCAGGAAGAGCAGCAGTAAAATCAAATGTGGATCATCATACCCAACAAGAGATCTGCATTCTGCCCCTACTACTTACGCCTCCATGTGGCTTCAGCAAGTGTTGTGGAAGGGAGTTCCATAGACTGAGAGAAGCCACTGAGAAGGTCCTCTCCTGTGTCCTCACCAAATGTGCCTGCAATAATCATGGGATCAGGACCAAGAGAAACCATCTTTTGAACATCTTGAGATGTCTTTTGAGTTTCTTCTGTGAATGGTCATCCTTGGCTCTGCCAAGATGGTTGATGGCTCCCATGTTAGTGAGGTGCTGACTCTGTTGTTGTTGTTGTTGTTGTTGTTGTTAACTGCCCTCAAGTCAACCTCAATTCATGGCAACTCTGTGGATGAGACATCTCCAAGACTCCTTGTCCTCCGCCACTCTGCTCAAGTCCTGCAGACTCATGCCCGTGTCCTCCCTAATTGATGTACTGAGTTTTGTTTTGAGTTATTCAAGGTGTTGAATTTACGGAAGGGTTATAATTCAGTACCGTGGACAGCTCCTTTAAAGTCTAATGGGATCCTAGAGTGAATTCTCTGCCACTGATGACCTCCATCCATAGAAAAGGACTCCAGTGGCCAGAACTATACATAGAACCCAACAATGAGTGTTGTTGTCATTGTGTGCCTTCTAGTCATTTCCAACATATAGTGAACCTAAGATGAACCTGTCATGGGGCTTTTGTGGCAAGATTTGTTCAGCGAGGGGTTGCCATTGCCTTCTCCTGAAGCTGAGAGAATGTGACTGGCCCAAGGCCACCCAGTGGATTGCCATGGTGAAGCGAGGGTTCGAAACCTAGTCTCCAGAGTCATAGACCAACATTCAAACCACTGCACCACACAGGCTCCCAACAAGGAGTATACTCATTGAATAATAGGTATAAGTGTTGACTTACCATTCAACAATTGTTCCGATGGGTCTACTCTAATTGAAACTACAAAAAGAATTCAGATTTCTGTAGATTTTTACTGATTTGAAACTACACCTTGCTGGAGAGGAGAACTTGGGATTTTCTCAGATCCTCTGGAATTAAAATAAATGTTATCTCTCTGGAGCCAGGAGGAAAAGCTTCTGTTCTGCCAACGACTTTGGCCCCTTAGAAAGCAACACAAGAGGCCTTGAAGTGACATTTCTCAGGGCGATTGGCCAGAACAAACCATGTTTGTTTCCACTTTATCACTTCCTTACCCTCAATGCACCTGCCTTCTCAGATCAGCAACCTCCATTAGCGAGAGAAGGCTCTGCCGCACCTTCCCATCCGGTTTGTCTCTCGCACTCGTGATGCTCGACTTGGTGCCCTGGCATTTGAGAGAAGAAAATGAGAAACAGAGACCTAAAACAAAAGGATTTCAACATCCCCCTCTACTTTTTGTAGATATATTTTCTTCTAAATAAATAAAAAGAAATCATTTCCCTCCTGGAATAAGAATCCTGCTGTTTATACCTTGGGCTGGCATTTTCAGAGCTTGGTGGGGCAGAGGGAATGTTTTTTCCACTACAACACCCACAATCCCTAGCTGTCTGGAGGGTTTGGAGAGTTGTGGTCCAAAGAAATAACCATTCTCATCTCTGGATATTTTGTCAGTATCTTCTCAAGGGTAACAGAAACCAGCATGGTGTAGTGGTTTGAACGTTGGACTACAAATATGGAGACCAGGGTTCAAATTCCCACTTGGCCATGGAAACCCACCAGATAACCTTGGGGAAGTCACACTCTCTCAGCCTCAGATGAAGGCAACCGCAAACCCTCTCTGAACAAGTCTTGCTAAGGAATTCCCTACAATAGGGTCACCTCCATAAGTCAGAAATGATATAAAGGCACACGACAACAAGAGCACATCATTTGAGTAGGATTTTTCTCAGAAAATGCTGCAAGAAGGGACTGAGGCATGCTGTCCATATGTGAGCCCACTTAGTGACCCATCTAGAGTGGCAGATGTGGCTCCCATGTCAGTGGGATG